AATGAAATAGCAAAGTTACTTTAAAAATAAATTACGGGCAGGTAAATCAAGTAAAAATATATATGAGCAAAAATAACATTATTGCTAACTTATCTTAAGGTGGGAACTCACTCATTTTTATACCATTCAGTTCACTAGATCTAAAAAACCTGCCAGAAAAAAAAAGTTACATGATTAGTAATTGCGTTACCCTAACACAATACCAGATCTAGCCATGTAAAGCAACCCCGTTCGGCTATAAGTTCCAAATACTGAATCTATTTTGTCATTTTTTAGGTGAAATTAAACCCCTTAGATTTGATGATTGCTACTACGAAGTGAAAAAAGTTGTCGATCTGGGAATGGTGGAGATTCCAAGTCCTAGTAACATATGAATTTCGACAGGCAAAGCCTGGGGTCTATAATCCATAAAACTACTGATTAAGAACATTATACATATTCCCCTTATAGCCCTTTTAGGATGCAAAGCATCACTGCTTCGCAGAGTTCTATTTGCGCTTTTTCTTATCACGGGATCGTATGTTGTATAATAAGAAAATGGTCTAGATATAAATTCGTAATATTTGTTATTAATAAAAAAATCGACTGTGAGAAATGATTCTGCAGGAGAGTGACATCGTATAAAATTTAGACCCAAAGAGTTATTGCTTTGCAATAATACAGGCCATTGATTATTAAAGCCGGTCAAGGTTTTATCGCACATTCGAACTGATAAATCTGAATACCAAGTAACCACCTGCTTAAGCAGATAAGTGGACCTGTGGGACCATTAAGTCCTATGACAATATAATATAATAAATTTGAAATGATCTAAGAGCTGTGAAATTAAATTACTACTACCTGTTGTGTTAAAATGACGTACACATATACTGTATTTACTGATAACTGCTGTTAAGCCACTGTCTCTTGGAAAGAGGATGCTTTGCATCTGAAGTGCTGTTGGCTTTTTGTTAATAAACACATATAAAATTGTCTAAGCCACTGTCTCTTGAAAAAAAGATGCTTTGCATCTTAAGTACGTGTTTGTGTATCTATCCATTCTACTATTTTCAACCCGAGTTCAACCTGAGTTCAACCCGTGTTCAACCCTAGTTCAACCCATATTTATATTTTATTATATATTCATTATGAGAATGAATAACCGAACTTCAACTAAAGTTCATACCATTTTCTATTTCGTATCACTTAAAAAAATCATTATAACCAAACTCGAATTGGTATTACGTCCGAAATTTTGTATAATTAACTGACTTCGTATGCCTCAGATTTGTATATCTCGAATTTGTTTATCTCGACCGGAAAATTAAATCATATGCTTGTAATACCCGAAATCGATCTCTCAAACTTATTTTATCTAAAGCAGTAAAGTCATTGCAAACCAGTCCCACAAACCACGATTACTGCATGTTTATTGTAAACCCAGCATAATTTTATACTACTTATTCAAATTTGTAGATCTGGGCCAGCTTAATATAGCATGTAAAATTATCATCGTACCCCGCCTGCTCAACAAGTTATTAACGATCTAATCCTAATATAAAAAACGTGCGATTGTTGATTGATTTGTCATGTGCAATAATTGTTTGTTAGTAATTATTCAACAGTGTCCTGTGGCCTGGATATACAAATATTTATGGCTTATCATTATCAGATAATCTGCCCTGCTTCTTAATAAAAGTGGTGAGTAGGATGTACTTTCTATACAGATAGTTTTGTCTTAAACTTTAGTATATAAGACTGCTTTATAGGTACAAATCTATCAAAACAATATATTATACAAATTTTAAATATAAATCAAATACTGGCCATGTTTCTTCAAAGCAGAACTTGTTGCTATATTGTTAGCAATTAATACTGCATCTAGATCTTGTATTATTCATATCTTTACAGACTCATAATCTGTTATTTCTAAATATAATAGTCTTCAAAAATTACTACACTTTTTTTTTAACTATAAACACTCCATACTCAATGTTGTGATATCCCTTTATTAACTTTACTCAATCATACAACCACCAAATTATTTTTCACAAAATCACTACATATCAAGAAGACTAATTCAATAATCTTGTTGATCAATTAGCTTGTAGCTACTTTACTTCAAACTTTCTTACTTTTAAATCTTATAATATTTACAATTCCAACTATTCTTTTTAATTAGATGAGTACTTTCTAGAGTTACTAACTCAACATACTATCTGTACTATATACTATTCACATATCTATACTCTGTGATTATCTCAGTGCAGATTTTAATAGTAGTCTTGAATTGCTGTTTATATCAACTAGCCTCTTACTAGTATTATATTAACAATAACTATAAAATTTAAATTTCTTATACAGCTTCCAATCTTCTACTCTTAAATCATTTTAAGTTAAAATTCTTCTTGATGAGTTACCTATTTCTCATATATTATATAAATACAATTATTATATTTTACTATATTTTACCTAACTGTTATCAATACAATCAAATTAGTATACCACTATATTGGATTATCTGCTCATTACCTGCACTATTGCACAACTTTATCAATAACTCTTTACAACAAGTTATCAACTCAATATTATTGGATATTTCACTAGAAAGAAGAGTGCCACTGGAGGATATAGCAAAGCTAGTTCTACTAAACCAAAAACTAGTAAAAAAACTATTAATGAAAATCAGATATTTTTAGAATCTGGTAAACATATATTAACAAGGTATATTTCACAATTCTCTAAAGAAATTCTTACTGAAATATATACAGATCTTAGTAAATTGTTTTCTGAAATGAAAGACTCATTTTATTTATATCATTCTAAAAACTATTCAAATAAAGAAGTAGACAAAGCATGGGAAAATATAACAAAAAAATATCAATATATTCTAGAACCATTTTTTATTGCATGCTCAGAAAAAGATACACCAGTATCTTTGACTTCAAGCAATTATTGTGAGAAGGCACAGTTTCTAAATTATGCTATAAAACAATATCAAGAGGTACAATTATATCGAAATTGGCTTGATCCATTAAAAATAAACTTTTTACAAATAAAAGAACCCAACAATTACACTACTATTTCATGTAAAGTATATGATTTAGAGATACCCTATGCTTTACTTGATACAGGTTCAGATAGATCACATATTTCTGAAAATATCGCAAACCATTTTATAAAATATTTTGGGTTTAAAATAGACAAAAAAAAGGTTTATAGACTAACAGGGGCATTAGGAGAAAAACAATCTATTGGGACCTTTTCAGATATTCCTGTTACTATAGGTATTGGAAATGATACTTTAACAGTTTCTGATAAGTTTTCTGTTTTACTAACAGAAAAAGATAGCAATGGTAAGGATATATCACTATTCATTCTTGGTACAAGATGGCAGTATCAAGCTGGCTGGAAACCTATAGTAAAGGGTGAGTTTACAGCATCAGCTAATAAAAAAAGTATTACTATTCCACTTTCTGTTTATAATAAAAATGAGGAAGCAAAGCTTCGAATTTCCAATTCATTCAAAAAAAAATAATTAGTTCCAAAGAGACATTGCATTGCAATAATACAATACAATGCATTAAGGAAGCTGAGTTTCGAGATATTTCTATATGAAAAAAATATATAAATCACTTTTTCTAAAATATATTAGAATATGATTTACCATCTTTTTCTTCTAACTCATGAATAAGATTATATATAGTACCATTTCAGATTATT